TTGTTACTTTCATTTTATGACTCATTTTTATCACCCTGGAGTTGTTGAGCCATAAATTCCCTCTCGTCAATCACTGTATGTCAGAATGTGCTCTGCTGGAGTTCTTTACAAATGTCTGAACAACAATGCCAATGACTCCACAAATTGAAAATCCTGCCTCATCCGGGTTTGTTTGGAGGGCGCGGAGGGTGGGGGGGGGTTGGAAATGTTATTTTTAAAGATCCAGCTTTATTAATACGTTAAGAAAGAGCTCCCTTGGCAGTATGTGTTCTTACAGCTCCGTCTCAGATCCTATAAAACATTAATGCACTGAAAGCTGTTACAGAGATCTGCACCACCAGCTAGAAGCATTGTGAAGCCTTTACCTTCAAAGGAGCTCCATTATGGAAACGATTTTTAAATTAAAAAGGAGAAAGGGGGGAAAAAAAACCCGGGGCTTTTGCACACTTCTCCCATCCTTGCTTTCTGCCCATGGACCCAGCTAGGAAGTGTGCCCGCGTCCCTAATAGACTGCATGTGTGGATGTGTGGGATACACACGCGCACACACTCATACACCACCCAACGAGTAAACCTCCGCTTAGATTTCTGTATTAATGGGTTGGGAATATCCTTTACACGTAGTGACTGGAGGAAAGAAAAACAATAATACCGATCCTTTCAGCAGATAGCAAATGCAGCGCAGAATCAGAACACACACTGGTGGGTCTTTTGAGTCCTCGGATAATAATAATAATAATAATAATAATAATAATAATAATAATAATAAAAAACACCCACCAAGCCTGTAACAAACGAATAATGACTACAGTCTGCCTTATATTGTACACCTCCGCACAGTGATGGTAGAATACAGTGACTCCAATCCTTGCCATTGAATTCTAGAAGGAAACAGCAATGGGGAAACTTAGCAGAAACTTCAACTTGACAAGAAGGGTGTTTCAAAATGTGTAGAGCGGTATATGCGCACATCGCGTTAGGAAAAGGCTACTATACAATCTCAGAAAAACTCATTCCTCTCTGGCATCGAACTGCTTGTGTTTCCACTTGTTTCTTATAAAAGCCTTGACATCTCCGCTCTCAACTGGCACAATCAAGTCAATCCTGGACCATTTATACAACTCTGTGATCCTTTCATTAAAAAAAAACAAAATCCAACTTCTCCCATTTAAATGCTAGCGGAAGTTAAAGGGTAGGGAGCATATATATTTTTGTCAATTCCGTTTGGCATGTTTCAAGCAACAAGACTCATGGGTGGTGGGCTGGGGTTTTTTTTGCTAAATTCTTTTATTTTTGTTTAAATTCTCACTTCAATTTTAATTCTTGAAGAACAGCTTCGACAACATATATCGCACTCATTATAAGAAGCAAAGGGTTATATCAAAAATTATTAGTATAGAATCACAGGAAACCTGGTTTGGAACCAGAAAAAAATACAAAACAGATATAGATACATAGACACAGGACATTTTTTTTTTTATAATTATTTGGAAAATGTTATTTTCCCCTAATTCTTGTTTCTTGTTTTTTCCTTTATGCGCATACGATGTTTTAAGTTTTACAAAAAAAAAAAAAGAACAAAAAAAAGAAAATAAAGACTAATATTTTACAAAATGAATAACAATGTTCGTGGTAAGTGTTTGCGTGTGGTTGTTTTTTTTGTGGGGTTTTTTTTTTTGTTTTGTTTTGTCTTTTTTCTACACAAGATTCAGTTCAACTTCAGTGTTTGTTTCTGTACAGAATATATCCACATCAGTCCACAATAAATCCTGGAAGATCCATTATTCTCCTTCTGGCTTGATTAAAATCCCCTCGGTCCTTTTAGTTATTTACGTTTATTCTTATGTCTGTCCTCAACATTTTCCACAGACACCAGGTCCTTCCTGTTCCTTTCACCCAGGGTGACAGAGCTGATCCTACGCGAGTCTTTATGCATGTATTTTTTTGTTCATTGTCTCTCTCTGTTTTTTTTGTGTCCTCTGTTCCCCCCTCTCTGCACCCCGACTGCTCGCGGGTCGTGTGTTCCTGTGGGTGCTGGTCCTCAGGGTCCCTATGGGGGTGGAGGCCGGGCTCTAGGAACACTGGATGGACATGTAAGGCCAGTTGAAGCTGCTCCCAGACAGTAACATATCTCTGATGAGGGTTTCAATGGGGGTTTTACCTACCAAGCGGACGAAGAAGAGCTGCTCGATGACTGAGGACGAGACGGTGCGCAGGGAAGGCAGCCGCAGGAGCAGCTTCCCGAAGCGGCTAGGCTGGTTGGGGTACTGGCTCCGCACGTACTCCTCCAGGGCGCACTGAGATTTCTCCTGCAGGCTCTCGATGTGGGCAGCATCTGACAGGCCACAGGCATCTGCCCGGGCGGCCACACGCCGGGGAAGGAGACAAGGGGGGCAAAGAGTTAGTGCCACAATGAGCGAGCCCCCTTCTCGGGGCTGAGCTGCACCTCCCCATGGCCCCTGCCCACCCCGGCAGGCAGCAGCCAGGCGATCGCCCGCTCCCAGGCAGAGAGACACGCACGCAAACCTCCCTTTGTGCTTCCTCCTTCACCTTGGAAATAAATAATGTAAAACGGGCT